CGAGGGCCCCGCGCCTGACCCCTGACCCTCGCCCCGGAAGTCGAGGTGACTCGGAAGTTCCGTCTCCGTCGCTAGGAAACGGGCCGGCCCGACGCGAGGGGCGGGGCTTCTGGCCTCGTCGGTCGTGGGGGGGGTGCAGGTGAGGCAGATGACGGTGTGGGGGCGGTGCCGAGCCCGGGGCGGGGCCCCCGCGAGCACCGGGGACCCCACCACACGCGGACACCCCCACCCCGACGCCTGCACACAGGACCCCCCCACACACACACTGATGCCCACGAGTACCTGGGACCCCAGGAGCACATGGACCCTGCGGCGCTCAGATCTCCCCGTGAGCCACATACACACCGACGCCCACACGTATAGGGGACCCACGCACACAGGGGACCTGCCCACTCATATGTAGCCGGCACACACACCAGTCCCCTCCCAGACCAACCCCCCACCCCAGGAATTCCCCCACAGGCCCACCCACACCCACACCTGTAGGGGACCTGCAGGCACAGGGTACTCTGTACACAGCCACCCCCACATGGACAGGGGACTCCACAGGCACATAGGGACCTGTGCACACAAGGGACACCGGACACACTGACCCCCACACACCAGTGCCCACGCCAACCCTCTGACCATGTACATGGGACCCCATAGGCACCAGGGACCCCCCACGCACATAGAACCCTTGCACACATACGGGACCCGACATGCACACTAGGTCCCACACGTGTGGATCACCCAGGCACACACCAACATCACACACAGGAGAGCCCACGTGCACACAGGGGTCCCTTAAGCACTGACCCCACACATAAGCAGGGGACCCTACATTTACTGAACCCCCCCCCCGTACCCACTCTGCAAGCACAGGGACACTCCCGCACAGGCCCCAGCACACACATAGGACCCTACACCAACAGAGTCGCTTAGGCACCGAGGACCCCGCAAGTACCAACCCCCACATGGGAGGGGACCCGGCATGCACACCGAGCCCCACGCACTGACACGCTCCGTCCATGCACACATCAACCCCCACACTCGTAAGCCCTCAGCTGCCCCAGGTGCCTCAGTCTCCTCTGTGTCCCCCCAAACACTTCCGATCACTGCTCAGAACCCCAGTTCCCCACCAGGCCCTCCCTCAGGGCCCCACTCCCCACTTAGGCCCTGCCCTGCGCTTGACCATCTGTCTAAGCTAAGTCCTGCCACCCCTGCCACTCCCCCAGCACTCCCTCCCCTGTCACAATGTCTGAACCCTCTCTCTGCCAGTCTCCAGTCACCCTCCTGTCCCTCTTGCCATGTGATCCTATTTTCTCAGTTTTCAGGGTCATTTCCAGTTTCATTAATCCCTTCCCCAAACACTCAGCAACACTCCACCGGTGCCAATATGGGAACATGGGCGTGGGGTCGGAGCAGTGCCCAGGCAAGGGCGCTGCCATGCGTTACCTGTGCAGTGGGGGAGGGGAGGGGACCCCAACCCAGACTAGGGCAGGGGAGGCCTCCCAGGGGAAATGAACTTTGAGATCAGTCGCCTGGACCAGGAAGAAAGGTGTTGCTTCCAAGGCCAGGACAAGAGAGGGTTGGGGGCACAGAGGGGTCGATGCCCCAGGTGGGCAGGGGCAGTGGGGAGGCACAGAGGCTGCAGCAGAGCAGGGTTGGACTCAGGCTTGTGCATCAGGACAAAGCTTGTCCAGCTGGCGGCCCATGGTTTGGGGCAGGGAGATGGTTTAGAGTCGGGTACTTGACACCCGACCTTGGGGGCTGTGGTCAAGGCCTGGGACCAGAGGATGGGTGAGCCAGGGGTGGAGGGGACAAGCTGTGGCCAGATGTTCTTGCTGAGCATTCTGGGCACACATGCCAATAACCAGGGGAGGGCATCGGGCTAGGAAGCTGGAGGGAAGCTGTGAGGGGGAGTGCCCGTGATCCTGGGTTCCCCAGTTCGGCACCTGCCGACTGTCCGTCCACGCAGGCCCCAGGCAGTGTGCAGTGTTGTTCCCCACTACTTCTGCCGCTCCAAGCACACCCTCCCTGACCTTTCCTCCCCGCCCCACCCCCAGGAGGATGAGCAGTAAGAAGGGGGTACCCAAAGCTGCATCAGGAAAGTGGTAGGCGTCCCTCCCTGGAGCCAAGCCTTGAGCAGCTGCTGGTGAGTGAGTGTGCCCTCCGACCTCCAGGGCACCCCACTCAAACACTGACTTGTGAGACTCTCTACACAGCCACCAGGGACACTCCCACTGAGAAGACCCTTCCCTCTGAGTGGCTTTCAGGGGATCTCTTTATTGGGCTCGGGTGTGGTAGACTGGGGATTCGTCCATTCTGGACCCTGATCCTGAGTCTTGTACCTCTGGGACTGGGGTCAGGGGCCCTGGGGGCAGTGTTCAGCAGAGCATAACTTTAGAACACATGGAGATGGCGAGAACCTGTGTGAACTGAATACTGCTTCTGAAACAGCAGGGCTGAAATCCATGTTGGGGATTCTCAGGCTAAGTATGTGGTCCACTCTGACCCTCTGCTCCACCTGGGCCATCCCAAGCTTTTCCCTGCCACTCTTGCTCCCTCAGGCCACCCTCTCCATAGCCACTTCCAGGCTGAATGGTGATAGCTTGCCCTTGGCTCAGGAAGGGCACCTCCTCCCAGGCCCACCTCCACCGGTTGTCACTCCCCTTCTCTGAGTCCCATTTCTTCTCGGTCCCAGCATTCATCTGAGTTCTCCACTAAGCTGCCAACACCTTCCAGGCTGTGGCTCTGGGTCCTCCCAGCACCCAGGCCTTCACTGGGGCTGTGCTTGGCAAGAGAGCACCTTACTGCATGCCCAGATACGGCCCCTCTGCCTGTAGTGGGCCTGCCCCAGCCTCTGGACCCCCCAGGCTCTGGGGTCAGAGGACCTGGAGGGCTGGTGGTTGATGCCTGCTGTTCCACGCCAAGCGGGGTAGACCAGCGTTCCCCAAAATAGCCCCAGCCGCGTCTGAGGCAGCAGGTGTCCTGGAACGAGGATGGTAGGCTCAGGTGCCGCATGCTGCTTCCGCAACCTCAAGCCCTGGGCACACACTGCAGTAAACAGGGTGCAGGGCAGATGGGCCGGGAAGCCGGGGGTGGGGGGCACGTTCCTCAGTTCTGTACTGTCACCCAGGTCCTCGGCCTGGCCTGACCCCATACACCGAAACACCACCCTCGACAGCTCCTGCAGTGGCCTGCCCTGGCCCACCTGGCCAGGACCTGGGTCCTCTGCAGGAACACCTCTGCCTCAGTTTCCCTGAACAAGCTCCCTCCCTGGGCACCCTCTACCTGCCAAGCACTGGGCCAGCCTGAGAGGGCCTGCAGTGTCCTGTGTGGGGGGCACCAGCCTCACTTTGCAAATGTGAAAATGGGCCCACAGATGTCCCGCAGCCCGCCTGGCCTCAGTGCACAGCCCGCTGGGCTCCCAGCCTCCTGGGCCTCTGCAGGTGGCTGTAGGTTGCTTGCACGGTCCCCACGCCCCCAGATTGTCCAGAGCCTGCCCCTCTTCACGTCCCCTGCCTTACCTGGCCCTGGGTCTGCAGCACCTCAAGGCCCTCGCTGCGGAGTTGCTCCAGGGCCATGGCCAGCTCCAGCCCCTCCACGCGCACCCAGGCCTGCTCCTTCTGCAGCTGCTGAAGCAACAGCTGCTCCTCCTGCCACAGCTGCATCTGCAGCTGGGCCTGCCGCCGCCGGTCTTCCAGCAGCAGCTGCTCCTGGGCCAGGCACAGCTGGACTTCGTGGAGCTTCAGCAGCTGGGGGCCCATGCCCGGCAGGAGGCCCCCTGCCCCGCAGCCTTCCATGTCCAAAGCGGGGACTAGTGCCAGCTCAGACCCCATAGCAGCAGCCTGCGCTGGCCCCTCGGCTGCCTGTGGCTGCTCTGGCCTGGCCACCTTGGGGTGCCCCTGGGGAGCTGGCTTACTGCTGGTCACGTGCTTGTCCCGAGGGCCCCCTGCGGCCGGGGGTGGGGGCTCGGCCTCAGGGCCATGCTGCCCCGTGGCCCGCTGCACCCTGCCCGCCCTCCTGGCTCGGGGTTTGCGAGCTCGACTTCGTTTCCCAGACATGGCCGTGATCCGGCACCTCCTTCACCGGGTGTCTGCTCCCTGGGGCCTTGCTCATCAGCCAGGTGGCCTTGATCAGGTGTGCTCAGAGGGCGTCCCTGGGAGGCCACGGTGGGCCCTCTGCTCCTGCAGCCCCCTTGTGCCTGCCCTGCCCCTTGGCTGGTGCCCGTGGCGCTGCTGCTCCCGGCCTCGGCTCTACGTGTGGGCCTCACGGGCCCCACTCGGCGGGCCGGGCCACGCCAGGAAGTTTATAGGGACTCGGCGGCGCGGTGGCTCACCCGGGTGCAAAGGCTGACTAACGTGCTGACACAGGGCGCGAGACTTTACGGCCATAGGCCTCGCTGGCCAGACTGGGAGGGAGACTGAGAGAAACCGGAGGAGGTACTCTCGGCAGCCAGACCGCCGGCTGTGTGTAGCGACGAGTCTGGTCCTGCCCTGGGCGGGCACTGGTGCCCCCCCACCCCGGTCCCACCCTGGCTCCCCCGTCTCACCCTGGTCTCAGGAAACTCAGACTCCAGCCCACAGGGCCGGGAGCTGCATCCCCAGCCACATGACCATCTGGACAAGACCCTCACTGGTCAAAGACAATCCCAACCCAACTACCATGGGAGACCCCAGCCTCCCAGCCAGCACGCTCAGAGGAGCCCCGTGGGGCCCGAGCTGGCCTGGGTGCTCTGTGGACATGGTGGCTCCCTCGCTCCAGCCTGGCAGACACCTGCTGGGGGCCAGGCTCTGCTGGTGGCTGATGGAAGAGACTGGGCCTTGAAAGGTCCAGCTGGCATTCTGTGGACTGAGATGGGGCAGCAAGGAAGAGTTCAGCCTGTCCTGGTTGGGAGTCCAGCTGCCCTACCCACAGAAACAGAGGCCTGAGGAGCCCACACCTGGCCAGCCTTTGGATTCCCAGGGATGGGCCTGGGGGGGATGCGGGTCGAGCCTGAGTGCTGGCCTCCCCTGGGCTTCCTGTTGGGAGGGAGGCTCCAGGGGGAGGGGGCTCCTCCCCAGCGTTTCCCCAGCCTAGGGCCGCTGACTCACACCCACGCCCAGGGCCCCATCCCAGCCAGCTCTGCCACACTGGCTGGACTGGTTTGCCTGGCTCAGCCCCGCCAGGTGCACCCCCTCCTGCTCAGCTTTTGCCCCAGAGGCCTCAGGGGCAGGTAGACAGCCGGCCACCGCCTGGGGAGCACGGTGGACACACAGAAAGGGAGAAGGGCCCTGGCGAGGGAAGTGGCGCCGGGTGGGGAGCAGCCCTCCTAGCAGAGCTTCAGCGCACCTGGGCTCAGCAGAGCCGGGCTTTGGGAACGTGGCGCAGGGCGGTCCTCCCTGCTGGAGCTCACCGGCACCCCCCCCTCCCCCGCCCCGTGGTACCCCTGTATTTGCTGTGGAGGACAGGCTGGGCGGCTGCTCATTAAAGCTGCACCGCGGGTGGGCGCTCCTTAACAGCCAGGATGCAGCGGCCCTTCTGGTGGCCCAAGAACGCCTCCTGAAGTTGATAGGGAGGGATGGGTCCACATGCCAACCGCACTGACCGCCCCGCATCTCCCAGGGAAGCCAGGAGAGAACCACTGGCCACAGAGGACGACCGGCCAGCAGGTGAAGGGCATGTTTGCGCGTGTGAGTGTACGAGAGCATGTGCGTGGGTGTGCGAGCGACCGCGTGTGTGCGTGCTCGTGTGAGTGTGCTCGCGGAGCGGGCCTGCAGCACGCACGGAGCAGCGTGTCCTCCCGGGAGCTGGCGGAGCCAGCCGGGCCCTCCTTGCTCTCACCGCCCTGGCCCGTGCTTTCCCGGTGAGGGCTGGATGGGGCGGCGCTGTGAGGGCCTCACGGGGGCGCGGCCTCTCGGGAGTGCCTCTAGCCGCTGTGGTAGTTGGGGGCTGCCCTCCTCCCGCCGGGTCCATCGCGTCTCTGCTCTGCGTGCTGTCGCCCTCCGCCGGCAGGAGCCAACCTCGGGACCAGCAGGTGGGCGTCCCAGGGACAGGAGGGCATGGCACCGCCTCAGTGTCACCCACCCCCCCACACCCCCGGGGCTCTCCTGCTCCTTCATGGGTGCCTGTGCCTCGACCTCTGTCCCAGGCCCTGTGCTCTCAGGGGGCACAGGCTCCCTTTTGGTTTCTTGCACTGGCCTCCAGAGTTGTATCTTTACCCAAACCTTCCTCCTGCACCCCAAACCCATATTCAACTGCAACCCAGCCCCCTCCTGGGGGTCCTCAAACTCAAGAGTGCATGGAAATGTGAACTTCTCATGCCCTTCTTCAGTGTCCTGGCTCCGCACCTGCACCTGGAGACCCTGAACCCGAGCCCCACCCCACATTCAGCTCATCTGCTCTCTGCTGCTCTCCCTCCCCTCTCTTCTGCCCTGGTCCCAAGTGTGCTTGCCTCCTGACTCCAGTCTGCTCCAAACCCACCTCCCACCTCTCATTTTGCTTCTAGTCTGTTCTCCAGAGCAGCCAGTCTCAAGTCTCACATACACACTTGATCCTGCCTGGCGGGGCTGGCCTTACCCCAGGGAGATACTACCAGGACCACCTTTGTGCTCGCCCCCCAAGAGCCAGGATAGGGAGCCTGACCTTGTCCTGAGGACAGGGGTGGACTACAGAAGGTTTGTAAAGTCCTGACTCTTGATTTTATAAAAGTGGTATATGCCTGATGTATTAGTCAGGGTTCTGGATTGTGTACAGTAGAAACAAATTATATGCAGTTTAAGCAGAAATGGAAAGGATTGGAAGGTCTGCCTTGGAAAGTGGCAGAAATGAGAGAAAGCAGAGGACACAGGCAAGGTCAGGCCCAGAAAAAGCCTGGTCAGGATGTCCCTTCTGTCACTGGAGGTGCTTTCATTGTCAGGGAACGGTGGGACGGATGTCTGCCCCCCAATTTTGTTTTCTGTAGTGTGAAGTGGGCTCCCACTGAATTCTCCAGAACAGCACGCAACCCTCCAAGGTAGGAGTCCCGAGCCTTCAGCAGGCCAGTCTGCTCTTCACTAAGGCCAGCTGCTCTGTGGGACATGGAATACGACGAGCCGGGCCCTGCGGCCTCATCTCTTTCTGTATGAGGTGGGCTCCCAGCTCAGAGGCAAGGTGGGTGCTAGGACTGTGCACACGGGAGTTAGCGGGTCTGTGCAGAGGGCCCAAAGGGCAGGTGTGAACAGCCAACCCAGGAGGAACCTCGATTTCAGCCAGAATAAGTGGTGTCCCCTTCACAAAGGAAGGTGTCAAATAGGACTGCCCTGCTCAGGGCTGGGCACCCGGAGATTGAGGACACACATGGGCCCTGCCCTGCCGCCATGGCCGTGTGGCTCGTGAGCCTGGGAGCAAGTCTTCGTGCCCTCTTCTAACCCAGGGCCTTCTCTGCAGTGGGGACATCTGGTTGGCGTCACACGGATAAACTGTTTTCACGCTCTGGGTCAATTCCAAGAAGTCCATCTGGAGAGCATCATCCCCCAACCTCCTTGTCACACCCACATTCCTGATGGTCTGTCCACATCATCAGCCAGTGTGGATGAGTTGGTATAAAGGTTAATCGCAGGACGGTATCTGGTCTAGAGCAGCCTTGATAAGAGCGGTCCATGCTGTTAGGCCCAGGTGTCACCACCACCGCTGCCACCACAGCCACTCTGTTCACAGACATGTGCACAAGCACCGGGTGGCTGAGGAGGCTGGCTGACGTCCATAGGACAGTTGTGATGTCCACCTGGGTGTCCAGCGCCTCCTCTGCAGTGGACTGTCTCTGGATGTCACTGTGAGACACAGAGCCAGTCTTGTCTGCTTGGTGCGCCCGAGCCCGCCCCCATCGCAGGTCCTTGCGTGTCCTTTCCTGACCTGCCTGTCACCTTTGTTCCAATCTGGTTCATTTCAGGCTCCTGAAGCACCAGCCAAGCTTCTCTCCAGTGTCCTCAGTTTGTCTGCACACTGCAGGCCTCTCTTCCTGTCCATAGGAAATGATAACCAGGTGCCCCTGGGGGATCTCCCTCCACCGCTGTCCTTCAGGACCTCCCGAGAGAGGAGCTGTCATGTGGCAGTGGTCAGTTTAAGTCAGTGCCACGGCATGGACCTGGCTGACTGTGCCTCAAGGCCGAGTCCTTCCCTCCTCCATCAGCTCCCCTCCCAGGAGCCCATCCGTGTGGGTTGAGGAGAGGCATCAAGATGACAAAAGAGAGGAGAATGATGTGGCTGGGCCAGGGAATGTACTTGTGCCTTGGTGTGTACCATTTCTGTCAGCCAGTGGGTTGCTGCTCTGTCCGCCAAGGCCGCAAGTCCCAGGGTGAGGCCCCTGCTTGTGGGTAGCACAGGCTGCATGTTCTCTGGTTCCCGGGTTGGACTCCCAGACCCTACAGGGCCTGATCTCGAGCTAGGGGCTCTTCTCCAAACCAAGAGTAGTGTTCCACAACAGAAGGCACCACCGTGCTCTAGAACCTCAGAGTCTGTGCTGTGGCTCTCCCACTGGGCTTGCCAGAGGCTGCACACGACATCCTTCTCCCCTACGAGTATCTTCAGCACGCCAGACTTGAGGATCATGTGGTCCCAGCAGGTGGCACCTCCCACCTCAGCCAGAACCTCTGGGCCCTGCTGGAACCGTTGGCCTTCAGGGTCCCTCAGGAAATGGGGTGGAGTGGTATTCCCAAGTAGGGTGTGTGCTGCTCTGCAGTCCTCAGGGACCTGCCAAGCACTGGGCCTTTTTCTTGATGGAAGAAGGTACAAGGCTCAACAATTTATCTTATACCTTAGGACGTCCTGACACGTCCCAGATCTGTGAACCCTAACAACTTCACCAGCGTGCTTTTACCTCCCACCCTCTGGAACTCCCTGGATCAGCGAGATGTCAAGATGATCTAGATTCCTGTATTAGTTTCCCATAGCTGCTGTAACAATTAACACACATTTAGTG